GCGGGTGGTTGGCGGGTGCTCTGGTGTGGTTTGCTCCTTCTTTCCTGTCAAACATCTGTCGTCCTTATCTCTCCTCCTTTTTTGTGTTTGTTACTCTGTTGTAACACATCTCTTCTTCGGCACTTATAAATATGACCTAATTGTGTTGCAAGTGCCGTAAAACTCTTTCTAAAACTAAAACTTGAACCCCCCCCCCCCCTTTTTTTTTGCGTCCTTTCTTCTGCACTAATATGACCTTATATATTGTGTTGCAAGTACCGTAAAACTCTTACTGAACCAAAACAATAATAATGAGGTGTGCACGTGGGTACGTATTTTTGTAAGGGTGTGGATTCATACATAATTGACAAATCGATCACGAAGGTCATTGTTAAAAGAATATGCTAACTTTATAACGACTACACTCGACGACACTAATACTTCCTCATGACCATTTCGTTTTGACAGTAAACAGATCACCGCCACTGTTATAGTAATTGTGATTATAATCCTCGACATGGTTTAGGACAATCGTATAATTTGTCGGTGTCTGGCGGGTGCTCTGGTGTGGTTAGCTTCTTCTTTCCTATTCAAACATATATATCGTCTTTATCTCCCCTTCTTCTTTTTTTATGTTTGTTACTCTCTTGTAACACCTCTAATTTTCTGGCGCTCATACATGACCTTATGCCGTAAAACGTCTACTAAAACTTAACTAAGGATCTTCTATCACCCTTATAAATACAGCTGTATCTCCTCCGTTTTTTTTCTTTCTTGTATGTTGCTGTTATCTTGTTAAACCTTTAATCGATGGAACCTGTAATATGACATGTTATATTTCTGTGTTGCAAGTGCTGTAAAACGGACTAAAACTAAACGATTGTATTTCTTATAATCTGTCACCTGCCCTCGAGAGTAACGCTATAAGTTGGGGCTATAAATACATCATGTACGTGTGGAACAATCTTTCTTTTTATCTCTCTGCAGGTGCTCTTCTGACACGCAACAACGCAACACACCGACTACACGCTAATCACAACAACACACCAGCTACACACTAACCACAACAACACACTGACAACACGCTAACCACAAAACACCGGTTACACTTTAACCACAACAACACACACACTACACACTACAGCTACAACAACACACTCTGAACACACCAGACAAACAGAAACAACCGTCCCGAGACGAGAGAAACGCGGGACGAGGAAATTGCCAGGTGGAGTCAACAAAGCCGTGACGGTAAGCCAGGGAGAAAGGAGGAAGGAGACGCCTCCCATCAACACCACCACTGGGAGCTGTTTCATTGACAATCACAGCGTCTGCTCAATGACCGGGCTGGCTTCGTGACGATAAACGGGGGGAGCTTCACGGAGCGTAAACTTGTCGTAACAGCACCGATAACTTTGGAGCGCGCCGTAACAACACCGATAACTTTGGATAACAGCAGCAGAAGGCAGAAAAACCTCGTTGTAACAGCAAGAATAACTTTGGTTAACGTCAGAAGGCGGAAAAAAACCCACGCACAAAGAAAGAAACAACGGAGAGAGAGGGAGAAGAGCAGATCATGCCCAAAAGCAGAAGTGACGGAGAGCGCGAGGGGGTGAGGTTGTAACGCTGTCACGCTGCAGTAACGGTGTGTCACGCGCTGGCGATGCGCGCGGGGCTGTGTGATTGTGTGGCCCCCTGCCGGACCCGTCATTAACGGGGAGACCCCCGGACACCACCAGCCTCTGGTGTCATGCCCCCACCCCCCACCCTCCTGCCTTAATGGACACGCACCGAGATCAGAATCCTCCAACAAAAGCCACAGGGCCACAGCGCCTGTCATCGCCCTAAGCCGAGAGCGAGACTATACCATCAACGCCCCCACAGCCACTGCCATTAGGCCGGGAAGATTGCTTTTTCTTCTTTTCTTCTTCTTCAGAGTTTGGTTTGGTTTTTTATTCAGTACAGAATCGGTCGTATATTTAACCAGAATATGAGAGACTGAGGTTTTTATTCATTGAGAATACGAAGTATGGAGGTGATACATTTTCTTTTGTTGACGGCCTGTTCTGGAAACAGCGTCACGTGACTGTAGTATAATGACGGATGTGATTAGAAGGTCGACGTGTTTGTTATCTGGCCAGAATCCCCCCTGGTGAATACTACC